TCATTTTCAGTATAAAATATAGTATATCTTTCTTAAAATTAGACATTATGGTACGAGTTGACCTTGTTTTGAACTGGCGCAGGTCTTTTCATGTGACTTTTAAGGGGAAGTAGAGGGAAAAAAAAAATTGGTTCGATTTGGTTTTGTGTAATATTTAAAAATCGAAATTTAAACCAAACCATTTTAAAACAGTTTGGTTCAAAAATCACGGGTCCACGTGGATTCAAACCTACAGTTTCAAATTAACGAATTTGATTTGGTTTGCAGACCCGAGATTTTTTGTGCAGCTCTAATAGCGGTGGTGGTGAATATGTTAATAAGTTATATAGGTTACAATTTCAAAAAAATTACATACACTATAACACGATTTAAATATAGAGGATTAGTCACAATCTTTGAAACTTGGTAAATGTAAGTTTCCTAAATTTCACTGAAAAAGATTATATGTCATAATATAAAAAAAAAATTTAAAAGTGCATCTAGTTATATAACTAATTTCAACTGATCCTTCTAATGTTATAATTTTTATAAATTCACTTGATTTTTCAACTTGAGACCCCCAAAATATTTAGTGTAATTAATTCTAATAGTTTTAGGTCTATTTAGTTGGGTTCATTTAAACTTAGGGCTGAAAAAAAAATCGCAAAAATGCAAATTGAATCGAACCATGTTGGTTTGAAACCACTGGTTCAGATTCACGTGAATCCACAGTTTTTTCCTTGAAGCCAAACCGAACCGAACTAAACTTTTTCAAAATAATTTGATTTAGATTTCGATTTTAATAAACTGTATTAAATTGAATCGAACTGTTTTTTTAATTTTTTAATTAATAAATTATAAATTTTATAGTTTTTACTTTTCAAAAAATAATAATAATAATAATAACAATCTAGAAATACAAATTACAACCTATCTTTGAAATAATTATATAAAGTAAATTAGGTTCATATTTTATTGATCCATGGTTTTACGAGTCTACTATACACGTCCTAACCTGATATCTAAACTAAACTAAAATTACCCTCAAATCATATGAAATGAACAAAAAAAGTATATCTTTTCGACAGTCCAAATCATAATTTAACAAAATACAAGAGCAAATCACACCTAAAGCTTTAGAAGCCCTAACTTGAACTTTCATTTCTCAAACATTTGACACCTACCCAGCTATTGCTGAACGAAATTGATTCCCGATTATCGACACCAATTTCCAATCGCCTTTTGTCTGTTAGTCTACTAATTTCTGTTCGAGTCATCGCTTTTTCTCCTCTCCCAATCAGTCTCAGATTCACATTCAAGTCATTTTCTCGATGGTTTTTTTCATTGTTTTCTTAATTAAGTGTTCATTATTTATTCCATTGTTCATTAAGTTTTCATTATTTGTACATTTTTTATTAAATGTTCATGAATTTTTCTTCATTAATTGTTCATTATTTTCTTTTACTCTCGGTCATGTTCATTACCTTTTTGTCTCCATTGGTTGAAATACTTAGGGCGTGTTTGATACGCGTTATTTTCCAGGCAACTAAGAAAATATTTTCCACTTTTCACTTTTTTGGCTCTTTGATAGGCGAAATTTTTCACCGAAAATATTTTCCGGGTTTAGCCCACACGTGTGCATTTTTCGACTTTTTGGTGAGAAAAAATTTTCCAGGCTGGCTGAAATTTTTTTTTTTTTTTTTTCAATGGAAACAAATTTCATAGCCAATGGTAAAAAAAAATTCACTTTAATGGAAAAATCTAATGTGGTTCTAATGTTACGAAGATGCTATAAGATGTAGAGAATATATAGGATCTCAGTTATAGTATTCTAAATAAAATAAGAATCAAGATATTCATTAGAATAGAGAAATTGTTTTTAGGCGGATAACCACTCGAGCGCCATAGCTCGTGGTTAGCCAGCTGCCAAGGCAGCACTCTAGCACTGCGTCCTTAGCGCTTAGGCGCATCGTCTCAGGACAAAACCTCCAAATCACTCCGAATGGTGCTTAGGAGCTTGAATGTGGCGCTTCGGCGCTCCGTCTTTATCCAAAACATGTCACATCCATATTTTGACTTCTTTAAAGATACTTCAACCAAAACATCAATTCCTAATGAAATTTAGGTCACAATTCAGCAAGAACATCTTCGAGACCAAGATTAATAATTGCTTTGGCTACTTCAGCCAAAGTTCTACAGCCTTCTAGCCTCTTTAATGCACTATTTATGTAGAGTTTTAAATAAATAAGAAGCTTATCAGCTCAGCTCTTGATGTCAAAGTTTCTAAAGAAAACATTCACACGAAAGAATGTGATTGCTTCATCCACAATATCAATGTAATCTGCATAAAATTTATATCATTTTCAGTATAAAATATAGTATATCTTTCTTAAAATTAGACATTATGGTACAAGTTGACCTTGTTTTGAACTGGAGCAGGTCTTTTCATGTGACTTTTAAGGGGAAGTAGAGGGAAATAAAAAAAAAAAATTGGTTCGATTTGGCTTTGTGTAATATTTAAAAATCGAAACTTAAACCAAACCATTTTAAAACGGTTTGGTTCGAAAATCACGGGTCCACGTGGACTCAAATCAACGGTTTCAAATTAACGAATTTGATTCGATTTGCAGACCCGAGATTTTTTGTGCAGCTCTAATAGCGGTGGTGGTGAATAGGTTAATAAGTTATATTTTCAAAAAAAATTAAATATATTATAACAACAATAATACGTAGTATAGGTTACAATTTCAAAAAAATTACATACACTGTAACACGATTTAAATGTAATTAATATAGAGGATTAGTTACAATCTTTGAAACTTGGTAAATGTAAGTTTCCTAAATTTCACTGAAAAAGGTTATATGTCATAAAAAAAATAACAAATTTAAAAGTGCATCTAAGTTTATAACTAATTTCAACTGATCCTTTTAATGTTATAATTTTTATAAATTCACTTGATTTTTCAACTTGAGACCCCCAAAATATTTAGTGTAATTAATTCTAATAGTTTTAGGTCTATTTAATTGGGTTCATTTAAACTTAGGGCTGAAAAAATAAATCGCGAAAATGCAAATTGAATCGAACCATGTTGGTTTGACACCACTGGTTCAGATTCACGTGAATCCACAGTTTTTTCCTTGAAGCCATACCGAACCGAACCGAACTAAACCGTTTCAAAATAATTTGATTTAGGTTTCGATTTTAAAAAACTGTACTAAATTGAATCGAACCGTTTTTTTAATTTTTTAATTAATAAATTAATTTTACTAAATTATAAATTTTATAGTTTTTACTTTTCAAAAAAAAAAATAAAAAAAAAATAATAATAACAATCTAGAAATACAAATTACAACCTACCTTTGAATTTTCCTTGAAGCCATACCGAACCGAACCGAATTAAACCGTTTCAAAATAATTTGATTTAGGTTTCGATTTTAAAAAACTGTACTAAATTAAATCGAACCGTTTTTTTAATTTTTTAATTAATAAATTAATTTTACTAAATTATAAATTTTATAGTTTTTACTTTTCAAAAAAAATAAAAAATAATAATAATAATAACAATCTAGAAATACAAATTACAACCTACCTTTGAAATAATTATATAAAGTAAATTAGGTTCATATTTTATTGATCCATGGTTTTACAAGTCTACTACACACGTCCTAACCTGATATCTAATCTAAACTAAAATTACCCTCAAATCATAAGAAACGAACAAAAAAGTATATCTTTTCGACAGTTCAAATCATAATTTAACAAAATACAAGAGCAAAGCACACCTAAAGCTTTAGAAGCCCTAACTTGAGCTTTCATTTCTCAAACATTTGACACCTGCCCTGCTATTGCTGAACGAAATTGATTCCCGATCATCGACACCAATTTCCAATCGCCTTTTGTCTGTTAGTCTACTAATTTCTGCTCGAGTCATCGCTTTTTCTCCTCTCCCAATCAGTCTCAGATTCACATTCAAGTCATTTTCTCCATGGTTCTTTCATTGTTTTCTTAATTAAGTGTTCATTATTTATTCCATTGGTCATTAAGTTTTCATTATTTGTACATTCTTTATTAAATGTTCATGAATTTTTCTTCATTAAGTGTTCATTATTTTCTTTTACTCTCGGTCATGTTCATTACCTTTTTGTCTCCATTGGTTGAAATATTTATAGTTTTTGAACTTATTATACATTTGTGAGTTATGGTTTGGATAGAAAAATGGTTGTTTGAATGCTTAGACGATTAATAAATTTATTTGTGATTTATAAAGAACGAAGGACAAAGTGTATGGACTATGTGTAAATGTTAAAGTTCTCTATGATGAACAAGAATAAATTTAAATAACGTTCATTTGTTTTAAATATATTACTACAATACCATGTATGGATTGATTTAAATAGAATAATGCTGTTAATCAACAACGCTAATCTTGCTTAGAAACATCATTACTCTTCTGAATATCATTGATAGCAACATCCACTTTTAAAATGATATTGATTTTTACTGTCCCCCACTTGTTTCCTCCAGTCAAGATTCCCTCACCACATCAATTACCCATTCACTTTTTCATTCTCAAACCCTAAATATAATAGAATGAATCACAAAACTTTTGAATTATTTTTCCGAGTATGAAGCAAAACAATTTTGGGAAAGATTGGAAAGAATTATGAGAACTGTCGAAAATAATATTAATAATACCTTCAACGTTTGCTCCAACCATATTTCTTCCTAATTCTTACCAACTTCAGTCACATTTCCGTTATCTTTTTACCGAACAACCGAACACACATAAATATTGCTCTTTTTCCTATTTAAATCCAAATTTTCATTATTGTGTTCACTTGCAAAATGAAAATACGTAACCAACCTTAAGTCTCTTTATTCTTTATAAATGAAAAAATATAAAATAAAATAAATCTTGGCAAGTGGCCTACTCAAGAATGCACCTTTAGGCATATTGTTAAAAAGAGGATGTACATACACACCTTTTACCACACCCAAGCAAGAATGTGATCCCTTCATTTCATTCCTCCTGTAATTCTGCATTTTTGTGCCCTTTTTCCTCCTTAAACCTCTTTAATACTCCATCAATAGCAAGATCAAAAGCATCTTCAGTATTCCCCATTTCATCACTGCCTATATAATTATATACAAATCTTGGTATATATTCGACCACCTTCTGTCTCATCCTTCGTATTTGTTCTCTATTATACCCTCGCAACACATTCTTTATAGACACTCCACTTCTCACATCTTTTCGGTCTATAAAAACCGAGAAATTCTCCGGTTCGTCGGTCAAGAACCATTGATATTGATTGTATATACTTCTTTTCCAGAAAAAAACCGGGATCGAACCAGCCAACATGCAATCAAACGTGGATTTTCTTGTATGCGCATCGCCCCTAGGCTGCAAACAAAAATCTGAGTCCAAAAAAGCTTCAAGAATTTCCCATGTCCCGTCGTAGCACCGAGTCCCGGAGCAATCCACGATATGACACGAGTCGGACTCGTTGTAACAGTGACTCGACAACAAACTTCTGAAATCACTCTTCACCTTGCGTTTCCCACCAACAAATGTGAATAAAGTTGTCCTGTTTCGAGTTTGTACAAAATTCAGCCATTGATCGAGGTCTGATTTCGACTTCGGGTGGAATCCAGTGGGGTAAGGCACGCTGATCTCAAGATGATCCCACGGATTTCTTTCAACGCAGAGCCTTAGGATTTCTTTCATCAGAGGCATGTTGATGAAACTGGACCCCCAATCTTGATTCTTTGACCGTCGGAAATCCCAAGTCATTCTACCAAGCATGATGAAATGATCTGAACCATTGGATCTTTGCCAATAGGGTTGATCCTGGAGCCATTTGAGTAACATTTCACTGTGCCAATCCCGTTCTTTTGCAGAATAATTTGTGAACAAATATTTTGCAACTGCAAGTCCAGCATAAAATGGTATATAGAAGGCAGTAGCCAATTCTGGCTCTGTAGTTCTACACTTGTGCTTCATCATTCTTGCGTGGTAAATGATCTCGCCGGCAAACATGTCTGTCCAGTACCATGCCGGAGCTAGATTATCCGGCATGCCGGCAGAGAGCCCGGCTGTAATTGGGCCAAACCCATAATTGGAAACTGCATTACAACGCGAATGCCATGGGTCTAAATCCTGGCAATTGTCTATTAGTTCTTTGTTAAACATAACTGGAAGATCATAAACATATACCTTTCCTGACTGGCATTCTTCGTTTTGAAGAGATGTCGATGGCAATATCTTGGGTTTTTCTTGTACAATCTGAGTATGAATGGATACAGATTTTAATGGAGTACCAAGAAAAAAATTTAGTGTTAGAATCTGGAAAAGAAGAACAATTGAGAGGCAAAGACAGCGGTACAGGGAAACTTTAACTGAATTTAATGTGTTTTTTAGCAAAAAATTCCTGGATTTTTTGGGTGATTGAGATTCAAATAATGAGTGTTCCACCATTGGAACTCGAAAGGATCAAATTTATTGTCTGTTTGTGTGGGTGAAAAAGAGCGAACCAGTAGAGAGAAAAAGAGAGAATTTGGTGCAGTAGCCGGAGCATTCAGCTATTTAGAGGGAAAGGCAAATGCAGCCATTCCAATACATGTATAGCCGTTTGTCAAAACGATGGTTGCGAAATAAAGAATCTTTTATGGGATTTATCAAATAAATAAATCTCGTTTAATGAGCCAACATGAAAAACTTGTATTCGTTTAATTCGTTGAAATGTTTTTTAATCCAAAAATTATTCAGATTAAAGAGATCTTGACTATGATATTTGATCAGCCAGCTCTCAAAATTTACAAAGAATTTAGTTAAAGTTAGTGGACAAAGGTTGACTGTAGGGCAATTAAGACTGGCCCTAAGTTTTTGCGCAGTGAGCGGAGCGTACACGTTCTCACCTCGTAGAGGCAGCCAGCAATTCTAGAAGCCACCAAAAGTGGCTCTACTACATTTAAATTACTTTTTTTTTTTGTCAAAATATATATTTATAATCGTGATAAGCGAATCTCTTATAAGTTTAGAATGTGCTAATCCATTATTACCTAGATTACAACATGTGGCACATTTTACCAATTTTCTAAGAGTTATCACTCAGATTGCATGTACAACTGGTGCTTAAAGGTACATTCCGCGGTGAGAGGGAGTGACATGAATGAACTCGATGTTCACGTATGATCTATGCTTAAAAAAACCAACCCAAGTAACGAGTAACAGTTGGAAAATAGTTGTGTATTTATATAATTTTGAGTGAGGCTCTTTTCTTATTTTTGAAAGATCAAAGTAGATTTACGTTCTTTTCTATAAGAACGTTGAATTTATATATTATTAAATCAAAACGATACTTGAGTAAATGAGAAATTGAAGGCCAAAGTGGTTAGGCGTTGGAGAAAAATCAAAATTGTAGCTTGTCTCGCATGGAAAAAACGAAAAGACGATGACGAGTTTAAATATGATCACATTTTAAAAATGTGCAATTTTGTATAGCATAGAGATTCTATGTGCAGATCATGAATCGAATTAGCACATTGAGCTATTGAGTTCTTGTGCGAGCTCAACTTGAAAGAGTTCTCATTTAAAATAATTGGAATAGGTTTTTGTTGAATTAGATTGTTCTTAACTCGTTATGATATATACCCTTAACATTCCATCATTTGAGGACAAAAAAAGGATTATTCTCATTGTACATTATGGTGTACATAAAGGTGTCCATAATGGACACCCGGCACCACCCTATTAGATAGAGTATCGGTCCCAAGTCCCACCTGCACTCCATCCAATAGGATGGTGCCGGGTGTCCATTATGGACCCTCTTATGTACACCATAATGTACATGTAGCAGAGCCCGTGAAAAAAAAAAGGGGTTCTCTATAAAGTAATTTTGCAAATATTAAGTTAATTAATTTTCCTTTCTAATAAACTTATTAACCAAACACGTGGGGTCCTAAAATCTTGGATCTACCTGTTTGGTCTATATTATTTTTTTCATTCTCATTCTTCTACTCATTTTCAACCACACATTCTTTAATAAAATAATATTTTTCATCACGTCAATAACTTTTCCTTCTTTTTCAACCATATATTTCCTATCACATCAACAATAAAAATGTATTCTTACCTTCAAAATGTGCACCAAATGGGGGCTAAATCATACTAAAATCACATTGTTGGTACAAGTTTTCGAGGGAGACTTAAAGGTGTCAATCCATAATAAAAGGGATAAATCAAAATGTGACTCGTGGACTCTTTGGGCTGGCAAATTTGGCATCTCAAGGAAGGAATCAAACAATGAGTGGGATGATAAATAAATTAATGTATCTTTCCCATGGAAGTTGGAATAAAAAAAAAATTAGCTACAATAATGTCTTCTTTCAAAGATAAAAATGTCAATATGACCGGCGAGAGACAAGTATCGAAATCATTAAATTGCAATTAATGTTAGTCAATGTTTGGTTTAGTTAAAAAAATTAATAAAAATTTAAATTAAAGTAAATAATTAATTTTAATGATATATTTTATGGAACTCACATTTTTCATCAACTTTTTAATCACATTTTAATAAATTTTATAAATACTTAAGTTTAACGATGAGACCCACAGTTTCCATTAACTTTTCAATAACATATTTATTAAATGACTATTTTCTTATCAAAACGAAACCGAGCTTAAAACCCTCTTAGCATGGGTTTCACACAACTAAAGGGCTTATAAAGCAAATTAGCAACCTCGGGGTTCGAGGTAGGTGGCTATGTTAGCTTCATGCCCTATTATGACTTTTTAAAATTTACTTTGTCGACGTTTGTCGAAAAGAATAGTATGGTGGAACTATTGGTGTAACATAAAATGTTGGAAGATTAAATTTGATCCAAATTAAAAGTTAGGCCTTGTTACTCATAAGCCCTTATTTAACACCTATTAATTTATTTTACTTTTTGCCACATTCAATAAAATATTTTATACGTAAACTCAAATTTTTTTTTCTACTTTTTGACTACACACTCTCCTAAAAATACTTTTCAAAATTCATTTTTTCTCAATTAATGATAATCAAACAAGGGCTTAGTACTTAGTAGCATCATCATGAGATGTTAACATTAGCATTAGAGATTAGATAAAGCGCTCGTAAAGATTTCATTCATAGAAAGTTTTACAGATGCTGACCTTGCGAGCATTTACCTTCCTAGTTTAACTTTGTGACGTATAGCAGTTTATTATTTGATACATTAATGTGATCGTTTTTTATTACGTCATGCATAAAATAACAAATTATCGTATGTATACCACATAGGGCAACTTTCTTATCACGAATAGTATTATTCTTTATATAATAGTTTACATATACACGATATCGTTGAGAATCTCAATTAAAAAAAATTTCACAATTATTGATTCCAAATTAATTTTACAATTGATCCTAGGCTAGGGACCTAACTTCGTTGTTCTTGGGGACAACTTTAACAAAGTGTCGTCTTTTTAAAGTACAATTTGGGGAGGATAGAGTAAGAGAAGAAAGTACAATTCCAAGGGCTTTGGGCCAGGTCCAAGAGCTGCGGAAACGCGGGAGTGCTTGGAAGCCCAAGAAACTAAGGAACAAGAACAAACAAAGGCCCAAGTTGTATCAATACCAAAACGAAATCTCAAATCAAACAACCAATAAAGGGTTAATTAATAGGAAAATGCTATGGGTACATAAATGTACCCAGGGGGTGTCATGATGGGTGCAATTATGTACCCATAGCACAACCATAATTAATAATGGGGCAATTACATAAATACACTAAAAGGTAGGACGGTTTTTGAAAAATCATTCTAAAAGAGGGCTTACAACATAAATACGGTTAAAATTTTTACCCCCTATTTGACACATATTCTTTCAAAACTTATTTTCAACCACACATTTTTCAATAAATAATATTTTCCATCACATCAATGATGTTTCCTTACTTTTTAATCATATATTTCTTATCATATCACTATTTAAAATACATCATTTCCTTAATAATATTCTTCAAACGCACTCTTAAAAATCGAGTCAATTATCGAAGCCTAATCTACCAACTCTCTATCTTCTTTAAATCTTTAATTAAATTCAAAATTAACTCAATTCATGTAAGTTCTTCTTCAATCTTGACAAAAATTCAAAAGTTCCTTATCTAATTTTAGGAATTATAATAAATTTTATTTCCTCTTCTTCAATATTAAGATCGTTTAATGCCCCTTTTGCATAGATTTTGAAAGCAACAGTCAAAATTCGAAATTTCAAGTTGAATAAACTCCCACTTAATAAGCCTAATCATCATAGTGCATTGTCTATGTCACTTTTACATAAATTTTGTGATTATGTTTGGTTTGAGCCTGGTAATGTAAAACCACTTAATAAGCCTAATCATCTTACTGCATTGTCTATGTCACTTTTACATGAATTTTGTGATTATGTTTAGTTTGAGCCTTGTAATGTAAATAATTGACATTTATGATGTTTCTTATTTGATGTTTTTGTTACTGTGACCGGAAAAATATTTGAAAATAATATTGTTGATCTTAATAGCAAAAAGAATTAAGTTAACACTTATGAAACATTTAACTTTGAATCAATTCAATTGAAGCGTGCAATGATGATGCACGTTTTGGGCCTTTTAACCAATCAATCTGACCCCAAAGAGATGCTTTTGCTAAAACTCGAGTAGTTTCTTAAAAATAACCGGATATTTTCATATTTGTAGCATGCGGGGAATCAAAAATAGTAGATGAAAAGCGACACAATCCTTTTTTGTTAAATTAGGATGTTCACTACCCTACATGAATAGCATCAACAAAGAATTCATCAAACTGCACTTCTAAAGAAACTGTATCACCCGGTTACCGATTGTATTAGAAAATTATAAACGTTTGTGTGTGTGTTTGGGGGGGGGGGGGACCACTTAATAAGCCTAATCATCTTAGTGCATTGTCTATGTCACTTTTACATAAATTTTGTGATTATGTTTGGTTTGAGCCTGGTAATGTAAATAATTGACATTTATGATGTTTCTTATTTGATGTTTTTGTTACTATGACCGGAAAATATTTGAAAATAATATTGTTGATCTTAATAGCAAAAAGAATTAAGTTAACACATATGAAACATTTAATTTTGAATCAATTCAATTGAAGCGTGCAATGATGATGCAAAAAAGTGACATCGTGCTACTTTTTTGTTACGTTTTGGGCCTTTCAACCAATCAATCTGACCCCAAAGAGATGCTTTTGCTAAAACTCGAGTAGTTTCTTAAGAATAACTTGATATTTTCATATTTGTAGCATGCTGAGAATCAAAAATAGTAGACGAAAAGCGACACGATCACTTTTTTGTTAAATTAGGATGTTCACTACCCTACATGAATATCATCAACAAAGAATTCTTCAAACTGCACTTCTAAAGAAACTGTATCACCTGGTTACCGATTGTATTAGAAAATTATAAACGTTTGTGTGTGTGTGTGTGTGTGTGGGTGGGGTGGGAGGGGGGGGGGAATCATTTCTTTTGGATAAATGATGTAGAGAATTTGAACGATCGGAAACTATGTTTTTTTTCTAAATGATGGTTGAAAATGTGAATTGTTGAGAATTCAAGCTATTCTAAACCTTTGAAAATTTGGGTTTTTTCTTTTTTTGGTAAAAATGGATATGGATTCGATGATGACCATTGAAGTTGATAATGATCCATTAGAGTAGCCCATCTCTGCAATGATTTGGATCGACCCACGACAACGGTGTTCAATGGGTGGGGGAGCCTCTGTTGGTTTTGGATTTGATTTTGGAGGTGGTGAGTAGGGCAGGTGGGTTGGGGTTTGTGAAAACTATTTTTTTTCCCCAATTTTTTCTTTTTTTTTTTTTGGTTTTGTTTGGTTTTTTTATAATATGAGATTAACTAATTTACTATTTTGCACTTATTAAATTTGGTAAAAATCAAATTTTTTGTCTACTAATGATCAAATGGAAGGAAAACATCAATTTGGAATCCAACTGAATATTTCAGAAAGGTTATGGACCTCAATCGGCACAAACTGAAGGTTGGGACGAACTCTGCAAAAATTGAAAAGGTAGGGACCGTTGCTACAATTTTTCCTAATAATTATGGTAACATCGCAAAAACAAATGAAATTATTCTAAGCATCCTTCAAATCTCTAGTTTTTTGTTACACTGTATGTAACGTTATAATGTATATAATTTTTTGATGAGTATGAAATTTTTTGTATCTTACCAATTTTTTGTAATCGGTAATAAAAAATTATGTATTTGTAATTGAACTCGTTACCATCGCAATCATCCAGCCAATGATCTCTCCATCATGAATATCCAGCCCCGAAAATATCACTATCACCAACTCCTCAACCCCTACTCGCCTTGCAGAAATAACAACTCAGTCCATACACACATCCTGAATTTGCAATTCAAACCCTATCGGCTCGTCTATCCTCACCTTCCAACCAGATCTACACTACCACAAAATTTTGATTAGAATTCTGATACATATACATTGGAGAAAAAAAATTGAAGTGAGCAAAGCAAATCATCAAAAAATAAAAATAAAAAATAAAAAGAAAAAGAAAAGAGAGTAAATGTTCAAGGGTTAATTTCACAAATAGTCACTGAAATTACACCAAAATTTCAAAATGGTCACTGAAGTTCGAAAATTGCATTAACGGTCACTCAACTTTCAGCCACTTTCAAAAATGTTCACCGAGGTAAATTTTGGGACTTTTTTGTTCTAATTGAAACCTAAATGAACAAAAGAGCACCCCTTTAAAATTGGAGGGCCTGAAATGCAATTCTCTTTGAATAAAACACCAAATTGACGTGCACCCTTTTTTTTTTTTTTTGCCAGTTTTGCTTAATTTTTTTTTCCAACCATATTTTTGCCTGTTTTGCTTAAGCAGGCCAATTCCTCACCAGTGGAAGTCTCCGGTGAGGAAGTTGGAGCTTGCAGTGGGTAAAATAAGCTGCCAATTCCTGCTGGCGAATTGGATTGTCAGTCAATTCCTTCCTCTTAATTTCCATCTGCAAACCCAGAACGTATTCCTTCACAATGATAATTAACTCTTTAACTTCATCCATCTCTCTTCGTGTCTCAACCACAATAAATGGAATTGTCTGAAGAATAGCCATGAAATGTCGAAGGGCTCCATCTACCCTCCTCAGTTTCTATGTGCACGTCCTCTTCCCCCCAGAACCATACTAATATCTCCATTTTGCATGTTTTCCACTTCGCCAATATCCAAAGCCTCACTCTAATCGGCGTCTGCAGCCTCTTCATAATCCTCTTCTGCACTTCTGTCTGTATTATCAAGACCACCCTCAAATATTCCTTTACTGACCATTAATAAAGGCCAATCTCCAGCACATAAAACAGGACTTGGGGGCATAACGGAGAAGCTCTCTTCCCCTCAAGCAAATAAGGAACATCATCCCCTAGTTCCACAGCTAACCGATTAGCAATATCGTGGAGTCCATGGACTGAAGCAGTGATATATGCAAGAGGTAGATGACCTGCATTCTCCAAGATCTCATACGATCCTCCATCAATATCTGAGCAGATTAATTGCATGTCTTGAATACTCGTAAACACGCAAAAATCGATCTTTCACATAAAATAGAGAATCAGCACTCGCAGAAAGTGCGTGTTTTTTTAATTTCACAAATGAAGCAAAATTAGGGCTCGATTGATCATTCAATCTTTCAATTGGCAGTGGACCCATGATCTTATGACCTTCAATAGAGGTAGGAATGGTAGAGTTTGGAACAATACACACAAAACCATCATCAATTTCATCACACAGCATCATCAATTTCATCACACGGAACTCCTTCCCGCGACTGGTGAAATTTCTTGGTTGCAATTGACATTTTTTGCTGTTGTTTGTAATGAGTTGTTGGCATGGGTGTGGTCGCCTGGTGAAGGGAAGTTGGCTGGAGGTGGGTTCCGACCATGGGGGTAGCCAGAAGCATGATT